TCCAACAGAGCGCGATATCAAAATGGAGAGGCAGTTTAACCGGAAACAGGGAGCCCGAGAGCGAAAATTCACTACTAAAGAGCTCGTCTACGCACGACACCGACGCTCTCAAAATTGGCAGCCGGGAACAATTAAATGCAAAACCGGAAACACCGTATACGAGGTGGAAATGGCCGACGGATCAACTCGGCGATTTCACTCCAATCAGCTATTACGGAGACAATCTTCTCGACCTCAGCCCGAGGATGACCCCCTCGCCGTCATCGCAGAAGCCTTCTCCATCCCTCTACGTCCCGCTCCGACTCCAGACTCAACACATCCGGTTGAAAGACCAGCCCAGCAGGACGATGAGTCCCCGCCGTTCGAGAGACCATGCACCGTCGAAGAAACGCCGCCCGAGAGATCAACACCACAGCCTCCACGTCGGTCAGCCCGTACTCGAGTTCCGATGGGACGGCTTCAGATAATCCCTTATCGAAAAAACTATTACGCGGCATAAACCGCCAATTCGGACAGTTGTTTTTCTCTTTCTTAAAAGGGGAGGTGTTGGGTCAGGTGTTTACCACGTGTTGGATCAGGTGTTTACCACATGTGAACACCTAACGACCGGGGTTCAATCTGGAACCCATAAAGTGACATTTACGTGTGAGTGCGACATTCGGGGTTGTCTTTTTGTTCGGGTCAGCCAGATGAGTAGGACGTGACCGGTGTTCAGTCCGACCGTTATAACCGTTTCTTTGCTACATAAAAATACGACGTTCTACTACTAGAGTGCATTCTCCCTTAAGAATTTAACAGTGGCTAAGAACCCAACACTAAGCATTTATAGAAAATGACAGATGTGTTGGTCATTGGTGCTTTCAAGCCATGAAAGTCGATCACACATTTCAGTATAATTTGGCCAGTCTTGCAATATTACTCTATTAAAAATTCTAATGTATAAACTTTCAAAATAAATTTTATTCCTACCATGATATTTCAGTTGAAAATATTAAGGCATTCGATAAATGGCTGAAAATATAATAATTATAATAATTAATTACTATTAGATGTAATTTAATTTATCTATAAACTGTATTAATAAACTTTAAACTGTGCATTGTATATAAGTGAAAATACTATCGCTAACACAACTACACCTAACTAAAAAACAGTAAAGAAACTGGCAACAGAGTCTTCCATTATATTCTATTCGCAGACGATCTGGTAATTTTAACTCCAACTAAAGTCTCTTTGCAAAGAAAAATTAACCAACTAAACTTATACTTCGAATCGATTCACTTAACAATAAATTCTACAAAACAAAAGTTATCATATTCCGAAACAATAGTAAAATCTCAGAAAAAGAATCTAAGTTATATCTTGACAATACTCTTTTACAAATAGTAAAAGAAGTAAATTTCCTGATTGTCACATTCGATTGGAATACTACTTTTAAAGCACATATCTCCAGAATAAATAACAAAGTAAAGCAGGCTATTGATAATCTGTTGTTTCTATGTTCAACTTTAAAAACATCAAATTTGTACATACATGTGAAACTTTATAATTCAATAATTAATCCTATTATTTATTATTCAAGTTCAATCTGGGACTTAGACGATCTATATAAATTAGAATGTTTCCATATTTACTTCCTCCGTAGACTACTCCATTTAGAAAGAACTGTTCCCAGCTATGCCATACTCCATGAAACTAATCGTATCTGGTCTTTTCCTTTTTTCCTAAAACGAAAAATTAATTTCTATTACCGGCTATAGTTCAAAAGCGACAATAACACAATCATTTCACACCAGTAAACAATCAAACAAAGTAAAAAAATCAAAAACAGAGAAGCTTTGGCAAACCAAGTTCAACAAAATTTTGAATTCATTCGGAGTGTCAGATTTGTTGTTTAAAAATAATTTATAAACTGGAAATACGGCTACACACTATTATTAGAAACTGCAATATCTCAATCTATAAATAAAGACCAAGTTAACATCATTAATTATCACCCTTGGTATATAAATTTATTATATATATCATCATCTCAACCGTACGTAAGTAAATCAATAATCCTCAATGTGAAAAGATCAACAGCTCAATTACATCTAAACAAATATTCATTTTTTATTAAATTAACAACATATTAACTTTTCAAACACTTAATGCATACGGTGTAAATTTGAGGTTTTCTGGATGTATGATCTGTTACACAATTGTCAAGGCCTTGGAAGCATGAGTGACTCATATGACATTATGCGGATACTCCAGTGCAGTATATCTCTCGACTTTAGAAATAATTTAAACCTCAATAAAAAAGTTCTTTATAAATTGTATAACTACTTCACCAAAATTGTAGGAATGAAAAAAAACTAAGATAATGGAACCTAATGTGTATTGTGAGATAAGCCGGGGGTACAATCCGTAAAAGGTGTATCACTTAATCGGCACAAAATCGCGAGATTCGATCTCTAAACTTTTTCTAGGAGAGCGTTATTTGTAGCGGAAGTGGATGATCGTGGAATCACCTTCTTCCTTCTGTCAGGATTCCCGACACCAGTTAATCAATTTTAGGTGCGAGGTTTGCCGATTGGGGAAAAAGTGTCGCGACAGTCGAGCGGTCAGCACTGTCGTGTGGGAGTGGAAAAACTTACTGAGACAGGTCTTCCATCGCAAACTATTTATTAAAAATAAAAATTTCTCTTACAACTATTGTTTTCTTCGGCGTAAGGCCTATCCACAGAGTGAATCAGTTCAAAGTTCAATCTTACGATCTTCTCTTCTTTTGGCGAAGATGATGAGGAAAACGTAGGCTCCGGGGTGCACAGCACAACTTGAAGGGGTGATTCTCACAGTAGATTATCCTTGGCGAAAGTTGCTGGGACAGGATGGCGAAAACTTCTTTCGGGACGACGAACCGCAGGAAAAATCCAGAAGCGGAGCACACCGAACTTAGTAACCAAGAACGTCACATCCTATTTTTGCGCGATTTTTATAAGTTTTTCTGAGTCCCAGATCGAACATTCCGATAGGTCGATGTCGATCTGCCCCCGTTCTCTAATTGGTCTCCCTCCTCGTTACAAATTGTAACGGGATCGGAGCCCAGATCGCGGGGTGAGTCAACTCCGATTGACAATTTGATTCCTATCGAAGACGCTCGATCTAAGTACTCAAATTCATCTATTGTTTCTTTCTGAGAAATTCGTTTTTTCTCAGAAATTTCTACAGATATGACTTTATATGGACATAATATATTCACCTTGCGTTAGACGGTTTCTTTTTACAATATATATTATTATAATAATAAAAAAACACTTTTTTTATACGAAATTAAAACATTATCTTGCGCGAATTTCGACCTACTTCCGGAGCCTCACATAGGTACGCGGATTAACACGCGTATTGATATGTGGAGATGATGAAATATGTTTGATTCAGATACTTGAGAGACATTCTTTTAACAAATAAAAACAAAAATTTAATTAACAAAGATAAACAAGATTATACAGATGGAATATTCAAATAAAGCGTTTCGAGAGAGCTTCGAATAAAGCTGTTTCTGAGAGAGAGAGCTCACAATTTCTATTATAAATCATACTACCTCGGAATATCTTTATCTTCTTCTGTCCTTTATCTTTATACTTCAGTTCCTTTTTGGTTAATTCTTGAATGACACATAATTATATAATTTCTTCCCTATTTACTGACTTAAACTCATTTTGTATGATCTGCTGGATACGATTCTGGGCGTTGGCCTTCAGGAGATGATATGGAATACGTGTGTCCTCTTCTGGATCTTTCGGCGTACTCCTCGAACAATGCAAAATTCTTTCTATTTCTCACGAATTTTCTCCAATCAGCCTTTCGGATTTTTCCACGTGAACAGGGAAAAAGACTGGCGTCTAATTACAGAACGATTCCGTAGCCGTAGTTCTGGTTCTTACCACGAGATGTCGCTAGTGTCGTGAGATTCATGTAGTCTATACGTCGTACTGTACGGTGTGCTTGAAATTTTTTGTCGATATTTTAGCTTTAAAACCACACTTTATCATCGATAATTGGTTATGAAGTATTCCCGCTACGTTGCTAAGAAATCGTTATGGAAAATATTGCGTTGGATATATTAGAAAATACTCGTTGTTATTGCGATAAGCACTTCTCCTCAAAAGGAAATCTCACTAACAAGCATGTAGGTTTAGAACATAAGCAAATGCTGGTGGTTGAAAAGTCTATATTCTGTCGTGAAACTTCATGTTCTGAAGGATTTTCTACTTCGATTACGTGAACATTTGGAGAAAGTACTCTACCTGTACATGGATTAGCCTGTGAAATTGAGAAACTGGAATTCAAAACTATGAAGGGTAAGTAAATTCTCTTCTGAAATTTTAAAAATGCTGTATTTAATTAATATATCTTAAAATAATTGTTTTCAGGAATATTAACAGCTCATTCAGTTGTAAATAAAAATATTATGTACTGTATTTGATAGATTTCTACGAATGGAAAGCCACAGATAAGTTGAGAACCAACTAAAGTTAACTGTGTCGTACTGTCTAAAAATTCGTGGAATTTATAAATTCTACTCGCGCGGCTCTGGCACACGGGATCATGACTACACTCAGTTCAGAAATGTACTGTACTTACAAAAGGAAAACATTCAATAACAGATTGTGCATATGAAAATGTTGCAGATGTATAATTTTCAATAAATCTTTTTCTTATAGAAACCACCTTTCTTATGAATACTGTGGCATTTTTTCTTAGCTAACGTTCAAATAAATCATTGCAGATCTGTTAAATCAGGCTACAAAAAGTTTACTAATATTTTACTGATGATGATAATATGTTGATGGATTTAAACTACCAATTCAAAAGACTACTGAAATTACACAAGATACACTTAACTCTTGGTATTCGCTAGGGTTAGGTTTTTTTAACATTTCGTAAAACCAAATAAGGATGCCTATGGAGAAAATTGAGTTTGGTTTTGTGGAACATTTTAAAGATAAACGTTAATTGTGAAATAAAATATTGCAAATTTTCTAATATAAAACGTTTAAATTATTTCTAAAAAGCAATGAACAATTTTATTAAATAATACAAAAAAAAATCGAGTAAGAGATTGAAAATTCAGCAGGAAAAGCTTGAGATTAAAAGAATTTAAGAACGAAAGTCTACATAATATGTAGAATAAATTGTATAACATACTGTATAATCTAAATATATAAAATTGCTTGTCCTGACTGACTGACTGACTGACTGAATGACTCACTGACTGATTCATCATCGCCCAGAGCAAACCGCTTAACCTAAAGAGGTGATTTGTTTGGTACACAGTTAGGGTACGTCATGGAAACGCACACTAAGAAGGGATTTTTCGAAATTCCCCTGCGGGGGGAGAGGGAGAGCATTAAGGCTTAACGGGAAGAATGACTTCTACTGTACTATTTTACATGCGATTTTTTGTTACGTTTAGTCTTCATTAAGTACTTAAGTGTATTAAATTAATAACCTTTCAGACATTGTTATAAATATTTTTACATATTTCGATTTTTTAACCAAAAGTTCGAACCTTTTTAAATTCGAATTTTTTATTGCGTATCGGTTCGATTATAGAACGATTGTAAACGTTCCGGAAAATTGATCAAATTGAAAATAGTTTGTTTGATTCTCAGCAATTCTCATCATTCTCGGCGGTAGGTGTTATATAACAATTACTATGGTTGTTGAAATACTGAATATAAATGGGGTTT